AAGGTTTTTGTTTTGTTTTTTTTACTTGGTATCAGTGTCAGTTAGGGCTGGTTTACACTTGCAGCTGGGGGACAGTAACAACCCATGGTATTGGAGGGGGCGGTAACAGCCCACATTTTTACCACACCCCACACATGTTTTTACCACCCCTCAACTGCTGCCCCTGTTGCTGAAGTGGCAGCAGCGGGGGGAGGTGTATACATGCTGCAGCAGAACTATACCCTCCTGTTGTGCTTGGTGGGCATTACCGCCCACCAAGCGTGACCCATTCAAGTGAATGGGGCTGTGCTGCAACCGCCGCATAACATCTGCAGTTTTGACATGGTTGTCTGGTATTTAGGGGATTAACCGCTTCCCGACTGCCCTATAGCAGAAGTGAGAGTGGAGTGACAGGTGGGGACCAAAAAGGTGGACGAGTTGTCCTGGAAGGACACGACCTGCCCTTACACCAGAGGTGCTACCCTTCCCTGCCCACCTTATATGCTCCTAGTAGCTATAGCATGCGCAGCAGCCACACCCCGGGCAACAGCTTCGACAGGCTGGTCAAACCAGGTTGAGAGTAGCCATTGGGTGATTGACCTTCGGTGAGATAGACCATTCCCTATCCCGGGCATGTGAAGACAGATTCCGGCGGATTGAGCGTATGAAACTTACTAGAATAGGACAACGCTCATGAAGGCGGTCTCCGCAAGTGACGTGGTACACCAAGTATGGTGAGACAAAAAGGTGCCCTAATCAACCACTGCACCCAGCCCATCTCCAACTGTTTCGGCTCTTGTCCTGCCATAGGAGCAAGATGGAATCTGGGAAGAGAGGCTGACTATGCGCACCTCTCACTCACTTTAATCCAATTCACATGCAAGTCTTGACTTCCCCCAACTCCCATAAATCTTCAAAGTCCTGTGGCGATGAGTGAGCGATGAAGCAGCAGGTATGGATACACTGGGAGCTGTAGCCACAGACCTGCACACAGGCGGCTCAGATCTAATGGTAGTCTTCCTGCTGACCGAAGCAACAGCTGGATTCGGCGTCTACCTGAGTGAACGAGCAGCCCTCTTTACGACCACACTGCTCACCTCTGCAGCAAGAGGAAGGGGCTAGAAAAGGTGCCCTAAACATTGTTGCTTCGCAGAACCATGGCCAGCTTACTGCGGCTGGAGGGGATCCCATTTCATGCGGTCGAATAACAAAACTTCAAAGAAAAAATAAGGTGGCACCACTCACTATTGACACATGGAACGTACGCACGCTTCAAGACAACCCCTCAGAAGATCGACCAGAAGGAAGAACAGCCCCGGTCGCCAGAGAGCTTGCAAGATTTAACATCGATGTCCTGGCCCTGTGTGAAACTAGCCAACGAAGGTCAGCACACAGAAACAAGAGGCGGTTATACATTCTTTTGGTGTGAACGCAGCAGTAATGAACGCCGTGCATCTGGAGTTGGCTTTGGGGTTAGGAATCATCTTGTCCTCAAACTTGCCAGTCTTCCCAAGAACATGAATGACCGACTCACGACACTTCATCTCCCACTACCGAGAGGAAAACAAGCCACACTGATCAGCGCCTACGCACCTACAATGACAAATCAGGATGAAGTAAAAGACAAGTTTTATGAAGATCTCAATGCCCTACTCTCATCCGTGAAGCCGACAGGCTGATTCTACTTGGCGCTCACCGCGAGAGCAGGATCCAATCATTCTGCCTAGGATGGCATCATTGGAAAAAATGGAATCGGCAAATGTAACAGCAATGGCCTATTACTACTGAAGACATGTGCAGCTCACGATCTGATCATCACCAATACATCTTTCACCTGCCCACTCACAAAAAGACGCCCTGGATGCACCCACACTCAAAGCACTGGCATCTTATTGATTATGTCATCGTGCAGAGGAAAAAACAGACAGGATGTAAGGGTGACCAAGGCCATGTCGGGTGCTGACTGTTGGACTGACCATAGACTCCCCTCCAAATTAAGCTATTCACATCAACCCAAAGAGAGGTCCGCAGGGAAATAAAGCTGTGATGAAACAGATTAACATCAGGAAACTGAGGAATCCCAACACAGCAGCTTCACTAGCAGAAGATCTTGACCACCAACTCTCAGAGCTGCAATTAGAGGGAAATGCTGAGAAGGACTGGAAAAGCTTCCGGGATATTGTGGACTCTTTTTGCACTAAAAGGTTCTTTGACCCTCATACAAGAATCACCAGGACTGGTTTGACAAAAATGATGAGATCAAGGCCCTACTTGCTGAAAAGCACCACCTTCACCGTGCTCATCAGAACAACACGTCATCAACAGCTAAAAAAAAAAAAAAAAAAAAAAAAAAAAGGGATACAAATGGAGAAACAGAAAAAGGGCGCACCGACCTAGTGCATTATTGTTTAAAATAATTACATAATAACACAGGCATGTCAAACTGAACAAGATGTATGATCCAAACAACATCTGAGTTCATACGATGGAACCCTGGATGACCAACTGGCTAACGCGTTTCGAGGACACAACCTCTTCCTAAGAGCAAACCTTTGGTTCTGAGGAAGAGGTTGTGTCCTCGAAACACGTTAGCCAGTTGGTATTATTATGTCCATTGTGAGTATGATACCTATTTTGTTTCTTTAATACATTTTTTTAAACGATAATGCACTAGGTCGGTGAGCCCCTTTTCTGTTTCTCCATTTGTATCCAGTGTATTTGGACCACCCCGGTCTGTTGAGGGCAGCAAGCAGTGCATATTCCAGAAAATTCCAGAACATTCCTATTGGGTCCACTGAGTCCTTTCCTAGCGCAGGAGTAAAGTGTTTGTTGTGTTGAAAAAAAATGCCTTCAACATCACTCGCAGGACTGTACAGAGCAAGCTTTGCAAGATGCAGGACTCCTGGTTGAGTGCCAAAGCAGATGAAATTCAGAAATCTGCTGATAGAAAAGATGCCAAACGGTTCTATGAAGACCTCAGATCGTTGTACGGACCTCAGCCCTCAGGAAGCTCCCCTCTACTAGACTCAGATGGTGCAACTGTCATTACTGAGAAGACTCTGATCCTACAGCGCTGGACAGTTCAGTACAGATTGGAAGTGCTCAGTCCATCTTCCAGCAACAGAATGCCCCAGGCAAATATCAACCACAGCCTGGACACCCCACCAACAAAGACTGAAACCCTACAGGATATCAGCCAGCTGTCCAGTGGCAAGGCCCCAGGATCTGTTGTGATCCCAGTGGAAGTTTATAAGGATGGCGGTGCAGTGCTTGTCGACAAACGACCAGTCCTTCTGGAATCAAGGATCCATTCCTCAGGAATTGAAAGATGCGTCCATCGTAAACCTCTACAAGAGGAAAGAGAATCGACAAGTCTGAGATAATCATAGAGGAATATCACTGCTTTCCATCGCATCACGAGTGTTGCTGAACCGCCTGACTGACCACCTGGAACAGGGTTTATTACCCAAGACAGTGCAAAGAGCGTGGCACTGTGGACATGATCTTTGCAGCCTGACAGCTCCAAAAGAAGTGTCAAGAACAGAACCGTGAACTGTACACCACCTTTGTGGATCTCACCAAGGCTTTTGACACTGACAGTCGCGAAGGTCTGTGGTGCATCATGTCGAAGTTTGGATGTCCTGACAGATTCATCCTAATGGTAAGACAGTTCAACGACAGCATGGTGGCTCGTGTTTTGGACGACGGAGAAGCTTCAGAGGCCTTTCCCGTTACAAGCGGCGTCAAGGAAGGCTGCATGTTGGCACCAACCCTATTCAGCATAATGTTTTCAGCCATGCTATCAGACGCCTTCCAGAATAGTTCCTTGGGAGTTAGCCTGGAGATACAGAACCAATGGGAAACTGTTCAACTTGAGAAGACTCCAGGCTGTCACCAAGGTAAAGGAGACTGTGCTACGAGACCTCCTTTTTGCTGATAATGGTGCTCTGAATGCTGGATCAGAGCAGGAAATGCAAGCCAGTGTGGACAAATTTGCAGCAGAATGCGATAACTTCGGTTTCCTCATCAACACAAAGAACACAGAAGTGATGCATCAGCCAGCTTCGAAAAAACCCAAACACCAAGAGTCCATCATCACCGTGAAGGGACAAAAGCTGCAAGCAGTGGACCAATTTACATACCTAGGCAGCGCCCTATACCACGCAGTGGCAATTGACATCAAGATCACCTGCAGAATCGCCAAGGCAAGCTCTGCATTTGGCAGACTACTGACCACCGCATGGGACCGCCGTGGAATAAGCCTTGCCACAAAGCTCAAAGTCTACCGAGCAGTAGTGCCAACTACCCTGATGTATGCCAGTGAGACTTGGACTTTATACAGGAGGCATGCTAGGCAATTGAACCACTTCCACATGAACTGCCTCCGCAGACACCTGAGGATCTGTTGGCAGGACAAGGTTCCAGACACAGAAGTCCTCTCCAGAGCAGACCTGCCATCAGTGCACACCCTGCTGATGAAAGTCCAGACATGCTGGGCAGGCCATGTTGCAAGGATGCCAGACCACCACATCCCTAAACAGTTCCACTATGGTGAGCTGTCTCAAGGAAAAGCGATCGCACGGGGGACAAAGGAAGCGATACAAAGACACATTGAAAGCCTCCTTCAAGTCCCTGGATATTGACATCACCTCCTGGGAATCCCTGGCACAAGATTGATCTACATGGCGCACGTTGATCCACCAAGGCTGCCAGACATTTGAGGAGAGAAGAACGAACGACTAAAGCACAAGAGAAGCGAGCACTCTGCAAAGCCAGAGCTGCAAATGCTGCAACAGTGGTGCCCACATATGTCTGCCCAACATGTGGCAGAACATTTTGTGCCTGTATAGGTCTCACTGGCCAGCTACGGACACACCGTGGACAGCCCACTACCTGTTAGATGTCAAGGTCTTCTTCGAACAGGATGGACGATCATCATCATAGCAGAAGTACTGCTACAGGGCGGCAGGACTGCACAAAAGCATGTATATATACGTGATTTTGTATATCTTGGTACAGGGCGCGCTGCTATTGGCAGCTACAGCTGTCGATCACCGGGTCCCGGCTGGAGATTCCCTACCGGCACCCGGCGATCACCTAGGAACAGTGATAGAGGAAAAGTCTGTATGTAAACAATACAGATCTCTCCCGTTGGCTCCAACATGCTGCTTTGTATTGCTCTGCATAGCAGAGCAATACAAAGCAGTGTGCTTACACAGTAAAACACAGTTAACCCTTTGATCGCCCCAGATGTTAACCCCTTTCTGCCCAGTGTCATTAGTACAGTGTTAGTGCTTTTTATTAGCACCGATCACTGTATTGATGTCACTGGGGAAGTCAGTCCCCTCCGTAGTGTCAGAATGCTTGCCGCAGTCCTGCTATTATTATTATTATTTCAGGTACTTATATAGCGCCGTCCATTTACGCAGCGCTTTACATATATATTGTACATTCACATCAGGGACAATGTAACAGGTCCCTAACCCCGATCAAAGGGGGGATTTACGTACAATCTAAGGTCCCTAACTCACATTCATACATACACATACTAGGGACAATGTAGACAGGAAACAATCTTTGGGAGTGCTATATGCTATAAGTCGCCGATTACTAACACATATATATTATATATATATAATCCCAGTTATATATACGCCATTTGTAAACACTGTAACTTTCACGGAAACCAATTTACACGTATTGGGATTTTTTTTAGCAAAGACACGGAGCAGAATACATTTTGGCCTAAATTTATGACGAAATTAGATTTTTTTTAAATTGTTTTACTGAACATGTGTAATAGCAAAAAGTTCAAAATATAGTTTTGCTCAAAATTTTCAGTCTTTGTTTTTTTTTGTATAGCACAGAAAATAAAAACCACAGAGGTGATCAAATACCACTGAAAGAAAGCGCAATTCATGGGAAAAAAAGGACGTAAAATGTATTTGGGTGCAGCGGTGCATGACAGCGCAATTGTCAGTTAAAGTAACACAGCTCTGTAACGCAAAAATTGGCCTGGTCAGGAAGGGGAGGGGGGGCTATCCTCAGGAGGGTAAGGGGTTAAAAAGACAAAAAACATACAAACTAAGTGCATAAAAAAGCCTGTAAGGCCATGGTGATGGCCGAAATGATAATTTAATTTTTTTTACTGCACAGGTTTAATAGCAAGGTCAAAAATAGTTTTTTTTTTTCAAAATTGTCAGGCTATTTTTGTTTATAGCAAAAAAAAAAAAAAGCGAAAAAAAATAAGAAAAAAAAACAAAAAAAACGTAGAGGCGATCAAATACCATCGAAAGAAAGCTCCATTTGTGGGGAAAAGAGGAAATAAATTTCATTTGGGTGCAGCGTTGCACGACCGCGGTGGTTAAAACAAGAGGTGAGGGGATATCCTTTACCCCCGGTTCATATATATGCGGCCGTGCGGATCGCGCCTTGCGCGGGCACGAGAGCCCATTCATTTGAATGGACTCCCGGGCCCGGGACACGCAGCAGAGAAGAAGTCCCTGCACTTCCTTGGAAAACGCAGCCCGCACGGGAACCTTCATTTGAATGGACTCCCGTGCCTGTAACACGTAGGAAAAGAAGTCCCTGCACTTCTTTGGAAAACGCAGCCCGCACGGGAACCATCTTGGACTCCCGTGCCCGGGATCCATGCACTTCTTTGAAAACGCAGCCCGCACGGGAACCTTCATCTGGGACTCCCGTGCCCGGGACACGCAGGGAAGAAGTCCATGCACTTCTTTGGAAAACGCAGCCCGCACGGGAACCTTCATCTGAATGGGCTCCCGTGCCCGGGACCCAGGGACCATGCACTTCTTTGGAAAACGCAGCCAGCAGGGGGAACCTTCATTTGAATGGGCTCTCCCGTGCCCGGACACGCAGAAGTCCATGCACTTCTTTGGAAAACGCAGCCAGCAGGGGAACCTTCATTTGAATGGGCTCCCGTGCCCGGGACACGCAGGGAAGAAGTCCATGCACTTCTTTGGAAAAACGCAGCCAGCAGGGGAACCTTCATTTGAATGGGCTCCCGTGCCCGGGACACGCAGGGAAGAAGTCCCTGCACTTCTTTGGAAAACGCAGCCAGCAGGGGAACCTTCATTTGAATGGACTCCCGTGCCCGGGACACACACGCAGGGAAGAAGTCCATGCACTTCTTTGGAAAACGCAGCCAGCAGGGGAACCTTCATTTGAATGGGCTCCCGTGCCCGGGACACGCAGGGAAGAAGTCCCTGCACTTCTTTGGAAAACGCAGCCAGCAGGGGAACCTTCATTTGAATGGACTCCCGTGCCCGGGACACGCAGGGAAGAAGTCCATGCACTTTTTGGAAAATGCGCCAGCAGGGGAACCATTTGAATGGACTCCCGTGCCCGGATGCACTTTTGGAAAACGCAGCCCGCATGGGAACCTCGGTTCTCAGTATGGTTTCCAGTTCAGGAGGCATGCCATTAGAATTAATGACACCAGCCCGTGGGTCCGCATTTCTGTGCGGGTGGTGCGGCTGCACAGATTTTCGTGTGGATCCGCAGCAGCACCACCCGCACAGATGTGAACCTAGGGCAAACATTCTCCAAACAAAATCCCAATTCACCCTGGAAAAAAAAAAAATGCAGGCATAGTCCACCTGGAACACACCAAGTCGGTGCGATATGTACAGTTATACAAGCGTGTCAGAGTTGCAAAGCTTTAGGATTGGTTCCACCTTCATCATGAAGGGGTTACCACGCACCATACTAGGCGCTGATGCACGTGTATGAACACCCCTGCAGCGGAATGCTTTACTATGAATGGGGCCCTCAAACGTTTACACAGATTTGCTCAGCTGTCAGGTGGATCGGCTCAGG